AGACTTTTCACAATGGAAAACATCACCTCCCAGTCAGGAAAATCAAGATGTGGAGAAAAAAAAACGAACCAAGTGTTAGTGTTTTTGATAACAAAAGAAAAACAAGCACAATTGATGATATAGTTTAAAGATTGATAATAAAAATCTACTTGCCTTTTTCATCCTTGGGACCACAGGCTTACCATCCATAAATCCAAATGTTTAGCAACACTAAAAACAACATTTCCTGAGCTGGCTTTTATTCATTTCATTTATAGGAGCACAACACAGAAAAGAATTTGAGAGAGAGAGAAGGGCTTTATGGATGGTTAGCCTGTGTTGGGAGCTGGAATTAAAAAAAAAAACAATTATTAGAAAAACATAAATTATAAGAATCATAAAATGATATACAAATTGAAGTAAAATGATAATTTGAAATAATACTAGCCTTTCTTCATCCTTGGGAATTGCTGTGAAGCTGGTTGAGTTCAGTGAAAATGTTTGTTAACCATTTAAGCTTAACATGAAAACCCAATGTCAATGTCAATGGAAAATCATCACAAGTAAAACAAAATAGAAAATAACCTTGAAATGAGTTGAAAAAAGTTATACAGGCACCAGTTTGAGCTTCTGTACTGTTCTCAATCAGTTTAAGGATTATGAGACTTAAAGGCCATAACCCAGACAGAACATAACTCACAAGTACTCTAGAAACAGCTGGTGCAAAAAATTATTACAAAATGTTTGCCATTCTCATTCTCCTAGGATGTAACTCAGCAAATAAATCTATTATACGTTCAAGGTCAAAATCCATGTCTCTGTGGGCATGCATCAGTGCCAATCCATTCAGTCTGTCCTGGGTCATTGTATTTCTCAAATAGTTCTTAAGATTCCGAAGGGATGATATGGATCTCTCACAAGATGCAGATGAAATTGGAATTGTGATCAGGACTTTCAGCATGGAATAGATGTTGACATATGCATCTTTGTCAATATCCTTCAGTGTAGCCTCCAAACTGTCAGGAATAATATCTCCTCTGTTATCCCTCCCCTTCCACAATCTCTCCCATAACAAAAGCTCTGCCTGTAATCCTGCATAATTTGGTATGTCCTGTCTGTAATGGTTACAAAATTCCAAAACATTGGCCTTCCAGGCAGGGTCAGTAGCTAGTAAAACAGAGGGAATAATCGAAATACCTTTATAGCAAACAAATACATCATCCTGGAATCTGGTGTTGAGCTGCTGGAGTACATGGTCAAGAAAAACTCTAGTGAGATTGATCTTGAAATATCCCTCAGGAGTTGCAGCAGGAGCATTATTTCTATGCATTTGTCTCTGGGCTATCCTTGGCATTTCTGGCTGGACTGCTACTTGTCTTGCAATGGTCACTGCTTCCTGGTAGAGATTATGATGTCTGTTATCAATGTCAGTGCTCATGTCTTTAGCGTTTCGCCCACACTGAACTCCAAAACAAACACAAGCTAAACAAAATGCTCCATCGAAATATTTGGAGTAAGCTAGCCATGGAAATCTTTTCAGCCAGCCCGAGACAAACTTACGAGATTTTCCATTTTCCATTGACACGGGGAAATCAAAAAGCTCACCTGGTTTCCACACGTTTTCGACGAACTCCAGCTTCTGATGCGGCGAGTAGTTGTGGATCTCGTCGAAAACTAGGCCAATGTCGAAGGGAGAACAATCCTCCCTCCGACAAACAGGATCTCCGCGAGTCATAACACTAGTATTTTTTAAACGTTTAACAGTAAATTCCGTCGTTAACCCCTGAGCAAATTCAAAAGTACTTGTATTGTAGGAGCAACGAAAGAGACCCGCTGGGGGAGGAACTGCCCTTTTTATACTTTGTCAGTAGTTTCCAAGGTAGTTTCCAAACACAACTAGCCAATCAGAAGAGTGTTTTGAGTGAGTTCCGATGACGAAATCTTTGCTAGCCAATCGTGAGGGGTTTTGACTGTGTTCCGCCTGTTATTGTCACCAAATAACAAGGACTAACACCCACCGGTTGCGTAAAGATTGGCTCCACGAACATTTTCCGACGGCTTCCGACGGTTTCCGAGGTGTAATGGAAGCTCGAAAGGCCAGCGCGTGATCCGGAGCGCTCCCGAACGCCTCATGACCGCAATTATAACGAAATTAGTCATTCTAAACGTATTTTCTTTAATAAATAACTGTAAAACAGGAAGATGGTTTATTTCTGGAAGACGTTTAGTGATTTCCACAAAAGTATCAGTAGTTTCCAAAGGGAAATTAGAGTGTTTTCCAAAAGTACTTTTATCAACATTTAACTAGGTCGGAAAAAATTTGAGTGAGTTCCGGAAATCAGGTAAACTACCCTGGATCCACCCCTGGATACCTTCCAGGTACATAATTTTTATGGAGGAAAGGGGGCATTTAAAGAAGGGAAGTTCATATTGAATGATGGAACTGTGCTAAATATCCTGGTGGAACAAAGAGGAGAAGATTCGGTGGAGGTTGAAGGCGGACACAGTACAATCCAGACTGCAGCTCAACTTGGAAAATCTGTGCAGGGTAATGCTGGTACTGGAGGAGGGGAAGGAAGTTTTGTTTATGCTATAGATAATTTTCTACTACTAGCTTCTGGAAGAGGAGGAGGGGGTGCTCGAGGTGGGTATAATGGCGTGGATGATCAGGCGGGTTCAAGTGGCACAACAACAGGTTTTATTACTACGGGTAGTAACTCAGCTGAATGCATATGGGTGCAAATTGTTCTAACTAGTCACGAACCGAAAAAAATTTAATGCTTACAATCTTAGCGGTCACGAAAGAAAACTGATCATTTAATTTTTTTTTTTTCTTTTTTTATACTCAAAGAGTGCGAATTGTATATATTCTCTTGGCACTTTTTTAGTTTGCCTCGGCGATCGATACTTAAATAACGTGTAATTTTTTCCCCCTGACAAATTAGTAACAGGTGTCGCTCGTGAACAGATCTATTACAAAGCTGTTAAAGTTGAGATACAAAATTCGAACAATTGCTGTCTAAGAAATATTTTTGAGTTTGTTCAGCTTTTTATCGCTATTACAAAGCTCTTATCAACCGAAAACACGCCTAAAGGTGTGATTCTTTCTTAAATGAAAACGAGGCCGGCTGTAAAAACAAATCACTTTTCTGAATACGTTGATTTATTTGAGACCGATTATGAAAATCATTGCGCGAACATTCTGTTCAAACAATTTTCTTGTCGTAATGTCATGATTCTCCCTGATACAATATGTGATATTATCATACAACGATGAGGTTCAGCCACAACGTGCCTTGGGATATTCTTCGTACTCATTTGATTCTTACCCGGCTAAGACCATTCATACCCAACCAGTTTGGTCGTCTAGTACTCATATATGCTGAAAAAGTATGATTTCCCTCTTAAATATGTTTAATGTATAGTTGATTGCGTCTAAGCGTCAAAAAAAAAAAAGGGGGAAAAAAAAGGGGGAAAAAAAGAGAAACAGAAAAAAATCCCACCGACCCTGCACGAGACACTAATTAGCAATTATTGCTAAGAAAGTCACAAGTATAAACAATGGGTTGTTCTATTGAAAATGTCACATTTACTTTGCTCTAGGAAATGTCGCACGTAGCAGTAGATAGCTGTTCTCCGGGGATTTTATTGCAACTGAGTGATGGGACAAAATGACCGGATACCAATAATGATGGCACACTTGATCAAAATGCCGAAATTCTGTGTTAGTCTTGGACTGACACGCATTTTAATATGTTTGTGTGTCCTTTTCAGCTATGCATTAATCCTGTAATGACTAGAATGCCAAATTCCATCCGCTACTTTTGATCTTCTCCACAGTGTGTGTGGTTCGTAACCTGATTCAACGAAAATTATCGAGGAGGCGCCTGTCCATGACCGTCCACCTAGTAAGTCATGCAAGCGTTACGATTGATCAAGGTTATGCAACGATTCAGGACAACTCAGGATCTTTTTCCTTCTAACTGTTATTAAAACTTCAAAACCCTTTATGTACAAGATAGATAAAGGAAGTTTAAACGGTCAAAAAGATTTCTTGGTTGATTTTCAGAATTTTGCTAAGGAGTTCTGACACTAGCGCATTGAAGGAAACACATTGATTTGCGTTGTTTTCAAGATTTTGGTAGATGAAAGCTAGAGGCTATCAGTGAAACAAATTGGTGAATAAACTTTCTACTGATATGCTTTCCTAGCCCGGAGAGATGGTATCCTATGATCCCGCTGGTATGAATAAGATTTCATGTAAAGTCTCCATATTTTATCTATACTCTGACTGAATAAATCCTGTAACTTGTGGCAAGAGAAAATTCCGTGAGCTATATAATTGCAGTCGCAGCGGTTTGGCCAAAAAAAATCAATTTTAGCTTGTGGTGACACAGAAAAGAGAACTGAAGAACAACCAAACTATTTATGAGACATGTCTTAAAGGGTTTTCTTTTTTTATGTCCAAAAAAATAAAGGGAAAATTTTTTTCGACGGGAAGTCGAGAGGCACTCTCTTAGCGGGAGCGACACTGAACAACAGAGTTTACCTCAGTCAAGCCATTTTTTTTTTATAAATGTGCCCTAAAATCTCCTGGAAAATTTGGTCAGAATACCACAGAGTTAGCAATTTGAAATCTTAAAAAAAAAAGGTTTGTGGGCTTTTTTGTGCGCTTTGCATTTTTACTGAGTTTCACAAATATTTTATTTTCTTTTGATGCTGCCTATTATTACTGAAACGTATAAAGAAGGGTCCTCTATCGAGAAAGATGGAAATAACTGCCTGAGGAAAAAACTAACAAAATTATCTATTTTAGTACACATCATTTAATCTAACAGCGTCTTTGTGACGGGCTGTTAGACATCTTTCATATATCTAAATGTGATTGGCTATCATGCCTCTAGGAAGTTTAGCGTTAAATTGCTGGTACATCGCAGTCAACAAACTGCTGTTAAGCTTCTCGATTTCCTCAACAGCTACAAAACATCGAAAGGATCTCTTTTCAGCTGGTTTTTCAGAACATGGGAGTTTTTCTCCACTTGTTCTTCACCTCTGTGGTTCTCTCGCATGGACAAGTTCTATCATGCCCAGACGGTAGGTTTCAAATCTTGCATTTGTGTATGAGGAAATTTTATTTTTTTTCATTTAAAATTCTCAGCTATACAATTTGCTAAGTTAAAAAAGAAAAGGCGAATTCTCAAGAACTGAAATACTTAAATTCTCGTATACATGCGTAGGGGCCTAAACTAACAAAATAACTACAAAATTCATAATCCAATTCAATGCATTGTTATCTTTTTATTCATTCAAAAATATTCTCGATTCCTTTTCACTACATGCGAACGTATGTTTGCAAAGCATTTTAGTTATGACCGAACAATCTTAAGAATATAAAAATAAACTTAAGTTTTATCGAGGCCATCTAAATATAAGGACAAGAAAGATCCTACAGTTATGAGAAGTCGTGCACTTAAGGAAAGACAAATTGATGCATTAACTAGTTGGAAATGAAATGTTTTCCATTTCCTTACTTTTTAGATTCTCTTGTGGAATAACAATCTTTCTTTTGGTTCATAATTATTCGCTTGTGTCACAAAAATTTTAAAATTGTTGAAATGCAGGGAAGGCAGTTATGTTTTCAATAATGCAAACGGGTACTGAGTGCGAAAAAGCAGGCACAGTAAAACTTCTCACTCGACGGGTGGCTAATTGATATGAATGATGGAGAAATAAAACAGAACAAAAACAAAATAAAAATCGTTTGCTTATTGTGAAACTGATGCTCGAGGGCAGTTTTCAGAGCACAAAAGAAGTAAGTTGCTTGAGGTGAAGCCAAGAGAAATTTTAGATTCTTTAGTGCTCTCTAAACTTCCTGTGTGAATCCATTACACGATATACACTCATTAAGAGCACGAACCAATTATCTTATAACATAGTGGATGTAACTTGTGCACGAAGATAAATTTCTATCACAGTGGAGTTTTGTTTACTTTGTAATCGGTTACTACCAGAAAACTATCAATAAGAGGCAAGGCGAAAACGACAAATAAATATTTAGAAACCAAAGCTTAATTCAAAGAAGTGCCAATTTGCTGCTTAGAAGCGGAGAAAGAAAGAACTCCCTGCATTTACGAGACACGCTTAATCGGTTCAGCATGCTGGAATCGCATACTAGAACACGTCATAATTATCGATGTACGTACCACGTGCATCGAACAGCGAGATTAAAAATATTTGAGACCCTCACAATTGATGACCCATTTGCTTTTTTAACTCGCGCTGATTTGAATTTTTTAGATCAATGCCGTATATTGGAATTTCCATCCACTTTGTTCTTCGTGGGAGAACGTCTTGTTAACCACACCATAGCAAACATCAGTGTGATTGACAGGGACACGTGTGAATATCGTTGCTACTTGGACCACAACTGCGTCAGTGTTAACTTTTATTTTGGAGAAAACGGAGTAGAAGCACACAACTGTGAACTGAATAACTCAACGGGTAAAGAGTATGATGAGGATCTGGTGAAAGCAGCGAACTACGTATACCACGGAACTAAGGTACCAGTTGTTCAATTTCAATTGCACTACATTCTCCTTCAGCGATTCATGAGAGCTAAAGGGGCACTCTTTATATTCATGTCTGAAAAACGCCTTTTATCCATTATTTGTTATTTTTACATAATTTCAGACACGTCACGGATCTTTTGTAGATAAGCACTTACCAAAAATAAAAGTCCTTTGAGTGCCTTGAGGACATCCAATTCTATTAGCAGAAGCAAGTAATTTTTCTTAGTCATTTCAGAACGTTGTTCACCGGCCTTGAGTATACAATTGATCGCTGTTTTTCATCTTATGAAAAAAGCACAACTTCAAAACACTTAATTCATCTCAAATATTTTTCGTGGGCAAGAATAGATGGAATGGTTATTCGAAGGCATTTCTGCAAAATTTTCATTGGTTTAATGATCGAAAAAACTAGATACATCCCATGGTTCAAGAGTACGTCCAACTATGGATATAACAATACAGTTGAGCTGTGACGAGGCTTACCAAGTACTGCTCTTGGGAAAGACGATTTACTCTATAACAGCCTGTCTACAGACGCCCCTTTCCGATTTTCGAAGTGCTGGGAGTGATATCACACAGGCTTTTGAAATTTCTCTCTCCACCAAGTTGTTCTCAGGTTCTCGGCGAAATGTCGAAGAAGGCTGTCAAGATATTAAACAGTTACTTGTGACATCGCATCCAAGGGAATCACAATTCTTCTTGTCGCCTTATGCTAAAAATGTGGTATATTTAGCTCTCGAAGTTATGCAATGCGTTTAATGCAGACGAGTTTTTTACTATTATTTCTTTTGTTTGTTTGTTTGTTTGTTTTCGTGAAAGAATTTTTGCGCTCAAGCTCCATGCGAAAACTACGGTACCTGCCAGTCAGGATTTACAAGAAAACGATATCGATGTTTATGTGCGTCCGGATACACCGGCCAGGATTGTGAAAAAGGTAACACTTAAAATGATAGAAATCAATTCTGTATTTAATTTTAATATAATGGCCGATTTCTTCAGAGGGTTCGATATTTAGAATCGGTTGTACTTATGACACTGGGGGCGCACATTCAGTTTTCACGCTCTTTTTCTCAACTCGGGATATTGTGTCTTGTTTAGGATGAACAGGAAAGAACTTGAACCACCTCCCGTATGTGTTGCATTCATTTTCTATTTCAAAGACCATCCAGCTTCTTTCAAGTTGCAGTTTCACTCTAGCCTATGATAGACATTTAGCGCCGGGAAAAATGGGGCGAAGAATTTTCCCCTCCTTTCCACAGCTCCTTACTCGAAACTGCTGCTAAATAGCATAACACATCATATAATTTCAACCATCGATGAGAGTGTTCTAAATTTTCACAAGTGTAGCGAGTATGCCAGTTTCACCAATACCGATGGATCCTACAACTGTTCTTGCAATCCTGGATTCAGCAGGGATGGTATTAAGGATAAGAGCTGTTGGATAAATATCTAGAAATTTCTAGAATGCTTCGTCATGCTTGCAATGCATGCCATAGAACTTTCTATAACATTCTATTACGTCAGGTAGTCATGATGTAATACTACCAAATAGTTGTGTTGTAAGATTTCGGGATGTTCTAGAACACTTTGTAAATGTTTATAAGGATTCATTCGTGTCGTAGTAGTAGTTGCTGATGTCGAGAGTTACCAAGTTATTGTGGAAGATTGTTTATTTTGAGTAACTTTGGAAACAACTGTGATATAGATTGTAGTGGGCTTAAGTGAGGTTTATTTTTGTACTGCCTTTAGGAACCGCTTCTATTAAAAACATCACAAGTTTTTTTAATACATTAGTTGAGTTTGAAGGATAGTAGTGTTCTTTCTGTCGATCAGATTGTGCCGCAACAATATTCATAAATGCAAAGATATCATCCTGCAAAGCATGATCTTGTTAAACAGAAAAATTACACGTACATTCCTTACTCCCTCAAAACGCCTATTAGCCCCATGTATAATACTAGTCGTGACAAAAAAAAGACATCTGCTTTCGATATAGAGACTCATCCCCTTCTCATAGTTATTATTTATCGCTATACTGTTCTTGTAATCCTGGATTTGTTGGAGATGGACACATCTGCCAGGGTAAAAATCTTACACATCACATCTTATGCCACATAGCCTTTATGACGTTTGCATAACCGCAAACCATTGTGTTAACATTGTGTACCACGAATTTTTGTACACACTATTAGGTTCATTTCAGACATCGGCGGAGATGCTGAGAATACCTCCAACAGTAGCAATGAAAACGCTATGTGCGAAAATTCCGATGTATCTTCGAAGTGTATATGTAAACCTGGATTCAGTGGGGATGAACACAATTGTACAGAAAATAATAAATTATAAATAAATAATAATAAATTAATTATAATAAATAAATTTTCTTCAGGCCATATCAGTCATTAATGAAGGCAAATAATGAAGTACAAATAATGACCTGATATTCTTGTTGTTATGATGATAGAAGTCGCGTTTGATGATCCAGATAATACTTTACTCTTTTTATTCCATTGGTTATACAATTATTGTCGGTTTAACTTAATCAGCGGGTGTTGTTGTCGTTTCGACCAGTTTTTTTTTTCATATTTTTTTATATAAATATATTTTTTATTATTTTTTTAAATAAAGGTAAATTTTTTCATTCTCCCCCTACAATATTGGTGGCACATATCATTGAGTAGATTTCATTGCAGACATTGATGAGTGTGCTCAGAATACCCACAACTGCAGTAGGCACAATGCCACTTGCACAAATACAGAGGGATTGTTCAACTGCTCTTGTGATCCTGGATTCAGGGGGGATGGACACAACTGTGTAGGTGTGAGAATTGTTTAAAGTATGATTGCTTTCCCGTTTCAGCAAGTAGACATATATGGCCCGACCATCTTGGCTTTAGGTCTTCCACGTGAAAAAATACGAGATGTCATTGACGGTCCCAGCTACAAACCAAATTTTCTCAAGAAAATTGGGAGAAACCACTAAATTCACAACCTGAAATGAACCACTGATAATTTCAGAAGACTGTAAGGCAATTTAAGATCTCAACATATTCAAATCCCTCAGATGCACTTGGATAATGGACCATAAACGAACTTTTACAAATTTAGATGACATAGAAAATGGCGGACTAAGCGTGCAATGACTAGTGGTTTTCTAAGTTCCTTTGGGATTAATCCGTCACAGATTGTAGTCTCACCCCCAAAGCTCCATAGTTATTCCCAACTATGGTTATGGTTACGGTCTGTTAAATTCATTTCAGACATCGATGAGTGTGCTCAAGATCCTAACAGCTGTAACAAGGAAAATGCCACATGTTCAAATACCGAGGGATCGTTCAAATGCTCTTGCAAGCCGGGACTCATTGGGGATGGACACAGCTGCCGAGGTAAAATGCCATACAACAAATATTGTAATTTAGGGAGCATCGGCAGCATTTTAGATTTGCTTTGCAGCTCTCAGTAGAAGTTCTTGAGGCTCCGAGAGAGTCGCCTGGCATTCTCTTCGTTCCCTCTCTCCTTTTTCCTCGTAATTCGATATTGGAATCTTCAGAGACATAAACATCGATCTTAAGCACTGAAGCGTACCTGCCTTTGCAATTTCAAATTCCTCGTTGAAAATTTAACTGCTCGAATTGACGGGTAACGTACCTGCGTGAGCCCGAAAGGCGCCTTGAGTTGTCAAAAAGTTGTGTGGTAAGGATTGTAACGAAGCTAAAGAAACCTTAATCTGACAACTAATGCAAAACTGAGGTTACCTCCTCTATAACCTAGCATTCCATGCCGTATTTACAAACCTTGGTGCGAATGGAAGTCATGGTCCATCAGCGTCAGGTAGTCCCTACGCTGGTCAAGATCATTACCGACAAGTTACGATAACTAACGGTATTCAACAGTGGACCGTGCCGTACACTGGCTACTACAGAATAGAAGCCATAGGAGCGACAGGAGGGTGTAATTATCGGTACCCTATCATTTTTTCGTGTGGAGGTACAGGAGCAAAACTGATAGGAGAATTCCGCTTGAATATGAGTGAAGTCATACAAGTGCTTGTTGGCCAAGAAGGAGGGAGCAATATCAACGCATGGGGTTCAGGAGGCGGTGGAGGTACATTTTTAGTGAGGGGAAATTCCACGCCATTGATAATAGCTGGAGGTGGAGGAGGCGGGCCGAGAGCTAAATATGGATATGGAAGATGTAATGCCAACACAGGCACAACAGGGAATGCTGGTTATACATCATGGCCAGGGGGAAGCAACGGAACAGGTGCCCATCAGACTGCTAGTGCGTACTCAGGTAAGGGTAAAGTTTGTTAACCCATAACACTTATCGAAAAAGCTCATTCAAATATTTGCTCGTCAGTCTCCGCCCTCAAAAGTTATGAAAAGGTAATCAATATACTTTATTATGAAAAGATTGCGATAATAATAATAAAGACTTAATTTAAAGAGGTTAACGCTTAATAGCCAAAGGCTTATAAACTTGTGGCCCTCAGAAAATAAAGTTACAAACTATGAATACAAATATAATATAATAAAAGTTAAAAACCTAAATTCATGAGAGACGCGAATAGTTGAATTACAACAATATTAAAACTTCTGTAAAATATAGATATAAACAGATATAAAAGTTAAACCCTAAAATGGTCCAAATGTTGCTGGGCTGCGAAGATCGTTTTAAATAAATGGGTTTTTGAAGACTTAACGGAGTCTGATTTTCTGATATTTAGAGGCACATTATTCCAAAGTCTTGTTACAGCAGAAGAACGGCCTCCTTCAGTGTCACGCTTATAATAACGACACATAGAATTATAGCTAGCACACCGCGTGCTTCTGTTATGTTGTGTATTGTTAATCGTTAAGTGTTCATTGAGATAGTTCGGAAGAGAGCCATTTACGCTCATATAAAAAATAGCACAATTTTACTCTGTTCATTTATCCCAAGGTATTCATCCCGGCTTATAAAAAAAGTGTCACAGTGGGTGTTAGGCGGACGGCATATAAAATGATTTTGGCCGCACGCTTCTGTAATTTAAAGACTCTGTAAAGTGATTCCTTGTCACGTGATGACCAAATGACGTCAACATAACTCATTACTGGGCGAATAATGGCATTGTAGAACAACAATCGCTGTTGAAGTGACAGAAAGGTTCTGACCTATGCACGAGGCAAGCTGATCGCAAAAATTTTCAAAATGACAATCAAATATGTGCCTTCTTATTAAAAAACTGGTAAATTTAGATAATAGTATGTAAACACAGTCATGATGTCACGCTTTTTGTGCTTTGCGACACATTTGAAAACATTTCAAACTCAAAGCTTTTGCAATACTCGCAAAGCAATTTTAAGCACCAATAACAAATTTTAGAAATGGAGAAAAAATTGCCAAGTTTTGATTTAGGGTGTAGCTTTCCCTTACCCTCTGAGCTCAAGAAAAAAAAAAGGAAAGAAAAAGAAGAACTTCGGTGACTGCCTTGGTAATCGTGAACTGGATGACTTAGACGAGGGAGCTCATGCAAAGACGACCAAACAAGCAGAATCTTATACTGAAATGTAACGAACTATACAACATCTGTGTACGGTCCTGGTATTTTCTTGGCGTACCCTGACGTGTACTATCATTATACAGACCTTACACATCCTTATATTTACGGTATACAACTGAGTACACTGACTGTTTAGGCCCCAAAGAAGGGTCCGTATACAGAGTTTTTTAATACAGTGCAACGGCCCATCCGTATTGACTTCGCTATCGCTCGGTCAATGCAGCAAGGCCTCAGTTTGAGATCTTCCCGCAGCGACCTCACTCTCATTTATCTAGATGTTACTATCCACCTTCGAGCAGGCGAAGGGAAAAAATCGCGCGACAAGAGTTTAATTTTTAACTGTTTTCCGATATATCAACAAAAATAATTATTTTGTTTGTTTGTTTGTTTGTTTGTTTCTTTGAACTTTACGCTTAAATAATCATTCATCCCAGTGTTGTGGCTCGGAAAATGTCCACCATCATTCACCTCCACTTTGGTGAATGATTATTGAAAGTAATGAATGATTTCTAAAATGTACTACTGACTTATCAAAGACCAATATCGAAACAAATGCTTTTAGTATACAAGGAGGCGTATTTCAGAGTTTAAATACTGATGAGAACAACAAGAGTCTTTGAAAGAAAATCACCATTTTTTTCTGAAAGCTAGCTAGGCTTGACAAAAACATGCTCCTATATATCATTTGAAGCTAATCAACGAATGACCCTAAAAGCAATCCACGTTATTTTAAAATATCTGCGAAACTTAAAAGGTAATTAGTGCAATTTAAATAAAACTGGTGAGGTTTTGCAAAACTTGGGTGCCTACAAAAACAAGTCTAAGAGCCGAACCTTGCACACACTGAAGCTTTCATAAATAAGAGTTCGGTAGTCTGCAATGCAGAACATTACAATGATTCATTTTGCTGATAGCAAATGCAAGAATGGGGGTCTTCGTTAAATCTTATCTGAATCATTTCCTAATTTCACTGTTGTGTAATAATTGATAAATATGCTGCATTGAAAATCTGTTTTACCTATTTGTTCGTAGACGTAATAATTCCAGACAATAGGAGCCAAGATTCCAGGCGACTTCTGACGCAATAAAGGGATATGGGTTTGATACGAGCTTTATGAAGGATGTGAAGGATACATACGAGTATAAAGGGATAGCTTGTTTGCTAGTCACTTCAGGGCGAGAAATTTCGCAAAATATACTCGAATATTTTCTCCGGCATTGTTTGGCTGAAACGTCATGAAAAGCATGTCCACTGAGGACAAAGCGAACAATTAGAATAACGTCCACGAGAAACCCAAATGACAGAAAAAAAGAGAGCCCAATTGCGTGCTCGATACAAGCACTGAGATAGACGTATCATAATGGTTTTTTCTTTCTTTGTTTTATTTGACTTTAGATGTTGGAGGTGGCGGAGGTGGGTTTTACTCCAGTGGTGCAGGAAACAGAGACAGCGGTGGTAAGGGCTTTCTTCAGGGCGGATTGGGTGGACAAGTTTCGTCCAGTTCTCAAATGGCGGGGTTTGGTGGATTTGGTGGTGGGGGTGGTGGGGGTGGTTGGGCCCGGTCACGTTTTGGGGGTGGGGGAGGTGGTGGAGGTTACTCTGGTGGGAGTGGTGGAAGGGCTTCCTGCGGTGGTGGGGGAGGATCTTATAATGTCGGGAGAAATCAACAAAATAACTTGCATAACCGGACATCTTCTGGTCATGGTTTGGTAGATATTACGTTTTTGGGGAATCATTGAACAAAATGCAAGCATAAGCCAATCGATACTTTTATTCAAATATGCTTCTACAATTGACGTATTACATTCCTTAAATCACTTATGTGGTAAAGCACATTTCCACAGCCACCAGAAAACCGTGATCTAGCTGCCTTTTGACCTTTAGGTATAGTTGGTTGGTCCCATTTAATTTCTCAAAGGAGAAGTATGCTCCAGAATCCACGGAACTGTTATCACCACCATTGTTTGACGTGTTCTGACATTTCAGAGAGTAACCATATTTTTCGAAAATGGTGTTCAAATGCATAAAGAATTCCATTTTCATGAAAGACTCGGTAATTTAGCCACGCATTAACCTGCATACTTTTCCTTGAGCTTGTTAATGGTATGGCAGCTGAAAAACTCGTTCATTTCACAAAAGTACTTTTCACATAATAAATTTGTATTTCCTTAAGGACAAGATTTTAGGCGTAAGTACAGTAAGTAGGTGGAATGATCTGGGGCAACGGATAGTAATACAAACCAGAACGCCTCATGCGATATGAAGTAACAAATAAGTAATTTAGGAGAAAACAAAATTGCAAGGAACCCGATAAATCTCCTTGAGGATCTTTAGAAATCAACTTATTCGGACAGAGTTGGCTGTGTAATAAACATTTTTCCGATCAGTTTGTCGCTACTAGGATAGTACTGGGTTAAGCTCTTGAAACAAATTGAAGTACCTCTAAAAAAATGTATATATCTCATTGGTTATTTGCATTCTTTAAAACTGTTATCGAGTATCTAAGATGTTATTTACTGTTTCGGGTGTGAGTAAGCATGAACCTTTTTCGGCGGCAGTAGTGGTCGTACATTCACCATGTTTCCGACTAATGTGATAAGACCATATAAAGAGAATTTCAATGTTTTCGGTAAGGTCGAACACTTAAGAGAAATTGAGGTAATTCCATAGTTTGACAGTGTTTTGCTACAATGCTGTACATCGACCATTTGAGCTAATTTAAAAATACTATTTGATATACAATATATCATTGTTGTACTTGCGATCAAGTATAATTATAATGGATATTGATGTTAACTGATTTCATCGGTCGCTCGACTGATTAAAGTGACTCAGAATGGTTTATAAACGACCAAATCATAATGAGACTCATTAAGGTTAAGATGATTGGCCCAAACTGGTTATGTAGTGGCCATTTGTACAATATTATATTGATGTACCCGTAATTTCAATTATACAAGCAGTTAGAGTAAAATGTTGTGAGTAATAAAACATTATCACAAGTCAAAATGTTGTGAGTAATAAAGCATCATCACAAGTCTGAACATCATTGGACAATAAAGATTGAATTACAGTTTTCATTCTAGCTTCATATTATTAAAAATGTAATGTACTACCGCTTTTGCAAAGGGGTAGTAATGACATTAAGATTTTGTCACTCGTGATTAAAATACTTCAAATTTCTCTCAAGTTAACACTTTTTGACAGACGAGTTTGTGTGACCACTACTTTTAGGGTCAGTAATGTAAATTATGTCGTCATTTGAGCATAAACAAGATGCCCTCCGTTTCTTTTTAGGATGACGTACGTTGTAATAAAACATGTTTGTCAACTACGTTTTGTTATAAATTTATTTTCGTCCTCATTCATCTAGCTATTGTCAAAATCTTTCTAAAACTGATGCTCGAGAAACACGATGCTACAACTTACAAAAACTGTTTTTTCGCGATGTTTCCAACTTTTGTCGTTTCTAGCATTCAAAGTTCTACTCTGTCGATGTGTTGGGTTATGACATAAAAAAGTTCGTCCCCCTTCTCCACCAGATTGCCCCATCAAATAAAAGAAATTCACTAGTTTGCTAGTTTACCATTTCAATTTTTTTCTCTTACGAAATCCTAATAACTTCTACAAACATGCAAATTTCGAGCTGCCACTAGACTGCTTGAATTTGCTGGTACACCAAGTGGCTTTAAACTCCGGCTTTGATGAACATCAAGGGTATTTAATATTACACAAATAGTCGATGATATGCCGGAAATAAACAATTCCTTTAACAAGGAACTAGAGGGAATTGCGGTGCATGATTTTCGTCGATAATAATTGTCGAGAGAGATTGACCGCGTGTTTGGTGTAATGCAGAACTTATGATTATTGTGACGTCTGCTGCATAACAACCCTTTACACCCTAAAATCAGGATGCATATTCCCCATACTGACCTCTATGCATTTCTTTTAGTACTTACAGGGAGAGTTTGTCTAACAATCAAGAGCTTGTTGAGTTCGTGACTGATCATTTTCTTCATTTCATGACCTTAATGTTTGATTCAGACGCTTATCACTGTTAGGGGTCAAAGGGTAAACGCCCAACAAGAGGTCGGAAATGAGAGATCCTTCCACTTTCCAACAGATTAGTTAACTTAAAATGTACTCTGAACAATAAATGTCCCGGGCGGTTAGTTAATGAATTATTCAATGGTTAGATTTTTACTCTTCTTAAAGCAATAAGCAATAACACCCTTC